GAGAAGCAGACTCCCTGCCGAGCAGGGAGCCCGATGCGGGACTCGATCCTGGGACTCCAGGATCATGACCTGAGCCGAAGGCAGTCGCTTAACCATAAATACACAGCCATTATAGTTCAGTTTTCTCAATTAATAAAATTATTTTGCAGATTTGTAGCCAGTTGTTATTTAGTTGCAAGTATCTAACATATGAGGTAATTATTAAAACATAAATTCACAGGTAAATGTAGATATTATAAAGATTATATCTTACCTTTTACATTTTTATTGTTAACTCTCATGTTTTCTTATGTTATTACATTCTTTTGGATATGGCTGTGTATTTATGTAGAAGATTTAGAAACTGAAGCAAGAGGAAGGTTAAATTCCTTACATGACATTGTTTATAGACCTCCCTGGAACATACCTCTTCTTTTGTAATGTGGTTAGTAATGTTGGCATTTGCCAAGAAAACATGGGAGTTTAAAAAAAATTTTTTTTATCCTGATTCTATAATGTAGAGATAACCATTGTAAACAATTTCATTTTCCTTTCTGATTTCTTCCCTATATGTGTTTATCCTTTTGTTCTTTTGTTATACATATTATGTTTATTTACTGTTATATTAGTGTGAATTGAAAACAATTTATCCTGCTTTTAATTTTATGTCCAAAATATCTGTAACCTCTGCTTCTTTACTAACAATAAAGGAAACCGCAATAATCAGTGATAAAATTATTTTTTTCTTGTTATAAACACATTGCCAGGATCTAGGGAATCCTTAGTTATATGTCAACCAATTATTCCTTATGGGTAAATCACACATACTTGTAGGTGTCTCTTTTTTTTTTTTTTTTTTTTTTTTTAACGATTCAAAGCTTTTATGTTGCATTAAAATTTTTAAAAATCGAACATTTTTTATCACCTTAGAAAATTACTTTGTGTCCCTTTGCAGTCAGCCATTCATTATTCCATGCAACCATTGATGTGCCTCTGTTATTTTAGATCGGGGTTTTTTAGGTCTATTTTGTGTGGGGGAAATCAGACATACCTTGTTTTATTGTGCTTTGCAGATACTGTGGTTTTTGTTGGTTTGTTTGTTTTTTAACAAGTTGAAGGTTTGTGGCAACCATGCCACAAGCAAATCTATCAACCATTTTTCCAACAGCATTTGCCCACTTTATGTCTCTATGTCACATTTTGGTAATTCTTGCAATATTTCAAACTTTGTCATTATTATTTGTTACAGTGATCTATGAATAGTGATTATGACTGGCTGAAAGCTCAGATGATGGTTAGCATTTTTTATCAATAAAAGCATGTACATTTTTCCTAGACATAGGCTGTTGCACAGACTATAGTATAAAGTGTAAACATAACTTTTATATGCACTGAGAAACCAAAAAATTCATTTTTTAATCTTTAATAGTATTTATTTATTTTTAATTTTTATTTTAATTCCAATATAGTTAACATATAGTATTATGTTAATTTCAGGTATACAATGTAGTGATTCAAAAATTCCATATATTACTCAGTGCTTATCAAGTGTACTCTTAATCCCTTTCACCTATTTCACCCATCCCCCAGCCCACTTACCTCTGGTAACCATCTGTTTGCTCTCTATTGTTAAGGGTCTATTTTTTTTATTTGTCTCCCTCTCTTTTTTCCCCTTTGTCCATTTGTTTCTTAAATTCCACATATGAGTGAAATCATATGGTATTTGTCTTTCTTTGGCTTATTTCGCTTAGCATTATACTCTAGACCCATCCATGTTGTCACAGATGGCAAGATTTCATTCTTTTTTATGGCTGAGTAATATTCCTCTCTGTGTGTGTGTGTGTGTGTGTGTGTGTGTGTGTGTGTGTGTACACACCACATCTTTATCCATTCATCTATCAATGGACACTTGGGCTGTTTTCATAATTTGGCTATTGTAAATAATGCTGCAGTAAACATAGAGGTACATATATCCTTTTGAATTAGCATTTTCATATTCTTTGGGCAAATACCCAATAGTGCAATCACTGGATCATAGGGTAGTTCTATTTTTAATTTTTTTCAGCAATCTCCATACTGTCTTCTGCAGTGGCTACACCAGTTTGCATTCCCATCAACAGTACACAAGGGTTCCTTTTTTTCCACATCCTCGCCAACACTTCTTATTTCTTGTGTTTTTGATTTTAGCCACAAAAAATTCATTTGACTTGCTTTATTGTGATATTTGCTTTATTGCGGTGGTCTGGAATGGAACCCGCAATATCTCCAAGGTATGCCTTATTATTATAGAACACTGAGTATAATGCAAGACACCTGTGTTCTACTCTGGCTCTGCCACTAATGAACATTTGCATGCTATTGAGTCAGTAATTTACTCCAGGGCTGCCATTTCCCCAAGAAGTTCATCAGAGTAGGTGAAGTGTATGTTTTCTTCCAACCTAGCCATGACCAAATCTCTTTCAGGAATAAAATAGTATTAAATTTGTGTCAATTGTCCTTAGATATCATAATAAAATTTACAGTTGATATATTTGTAAAAACAAGTTGTGTGTTTGTGTAGTATAGAGTACTCATAAGAAAATCTTACAACTTTAAACTCCTGTATAGTTCTTATAATCCTGTGACACTCTTTACTTATCATTTTACTTTGTTCTTTGTGAGTTTCAATAACAAGTTATACATTCTGTCAATTTAGACTTGCTTTTTTCCCCTTTTGAATGAAAATGTACATACTTATGATTAGTTTCTAATTTGTAAGACTTTAATTACTGATAATTTCATTTATCATTATAAAAAATGAGATTTAATTGACTAATTTTTTAAAATACACATGTAACCAAAATTTTATTTAAATAAGCAGATGTAAGTATCAAAATGGTGAATTGATAGTGAGGATTAAATATTCAATTATTTTTCTTTTTAGTTGAGTTGTATTCCTGGGCCTTGTCCAACTTCAGATGATTTGAAATATACTATGACTCGTTTAGCAGTAGATGGAGCAGATATTTATATTGTGGAGCATGGCTGTGCTACAAATCTAAAGGTACACTTTTGTCTATTTCTTGGCCAGTGTAGTTCTTTTTCCATTCTACCAAACCAAACTTCCATTTCTTTTTCTTTTTCTTTTTTTTTTTTTAAGATTTATTTATTTATTTTAGAGAGAGAGAGAGAGAGCATGAGCGGGGGTGGCGGAGAGGAGAGAGGGAGAACAAGGGAGAAGCAGACTCCCCACTGAGCGTGGAGCCAGACATTTGGCTCTATTTCACAACCCTGATATATGACCTGAGCTGAAATCAAGAGTCAGTCGCTTAACTTACTGAGCCACCCAGGCGCCCCCAAACCTCCATTTCTTGAGGTAGAACACACATTTATAATTTGCCATCTCACAAAACACTACACAATTCCAGGAGATAGCTTTCTGTTTTTGGCTCGTCCATGTTCTCTTCCAGTCTGTTTCTTCACTACTATTTTACTCTAACTGAATTATCATAACTTTGCTTTATGGCAGGGATATAAACTTGGAGGTTGCTTTTATGGCAGGGATTAAATTGGTAGTGTTTTTGAAAGATTTGATTTTGAATGCCTTTAGGTTTTGTACATTTATATCCTGCCTGGCTCCTGAAAACATTTGTTTGCCACCTCTGCTTTGTGGGTTACTGCTTAAAATTAAACCTTGTTAAAAGTCTGTGATTTTATTACTTACTACCAACATTTCTTTCTTCCTTCTCTTGTTTTCCTTTCGACTTATGTTCTTTTCCTTTTATCCTCTTTTTTATTAACTGAATGTCTACTTTTATTCTGTTGCATTTATCTTTTCTATTTCCCTTTTTTCTCTTTTTCCTTCTTTCATGCAATTTGGAAATAAATAACTTCTGTAGTTTATCCTAAGTTGCTTAAGAATACAGAAACTACAGTTTTATTTCATTTTCTTCATGCAATTTAGATGGGTGCAATTCGAGTTGCAAACTGTAATCTCCACAATCAGTCGGTTGGGGAAGGAATAAGTGCTGCAATTCAGGATTTTCAAGTGAGACAGTACATTGAACAATTAAATAATTCCAGAGTTGGACTTCAGCCTGCAGTACTACGGAGGGCCTATTGGCTTGAAGCGGGGTCAGCCAATTTAGGACTCATTACTGTTGATATTGCATTAGCTGCTGATCATCATTCTAAACATGAGGCTCAGAGACATTTCTTAGAAACTCATGATGCCAGAACTAAGAGGTAAGTGAAATTTAAGGAAGTTAATGGTCCCAAGTTCAGACGAAAATTACCTTATAATTATAGAGGAAATTCTACTGTTAGGAATGGAATAGGAACACCTCAGTGGAGGTATAAGAACCTGATATTTAAGTAAATATGTTGTATATCTCATCTCTGATAATGGTATGGTTGATGGAAATAACACTGTTTTTTATCGTGTTTCCAAGCCCATACTATGTGTATTAGCAGTGAAATGAGTTTAAATTACTAGTTCCCAAATAACGTTTTATACAGCACTACTCCCCTTTCTCTCTCACCACAGCCTTCCACTTTGATTTCATCATTTCTAGAAAACATCATTGCTATCACCTTGTACTCTACAAAACTCTTCCTTTTGTGAGCTCTCATGACTGCAAGGGAGACTAAGGGAATATAATCCTCAAGAAACAGTCATTAAGAAATAATTGTATCTGCCATTTAAAAAGTAGCCTCTTACTAAATCATGTCCATTTAAAATGCCAGTATAACTTTTTTCCATCCCCATCTCCCTCATTATAAATTTAAATGAGCTTATTTTAAAAATTGAGAAAACTATTATGAAATAAAGGAAAGTAACTGCCATAACCTTACCACACTGAATTTGTCATATTTCTTCCCCATATTTTTAATGTATCTTTCTTATACTTGAAATCATCCTATATTTATAAATTCTGCATGTTTGTGTTGAACTTCTATCCTAAGCATCTGCCCATATGACCGAAAATTTTATAAATTTCCTTTCAAACAAATGATAGAACACCATCAAAAAGATATATTGTACTTTATTTAGCCATTGCCCTTATTTATTAAATACATAGGTAAGTGTTTCTGAATTTTTCATTATAAATAATAGTAAGAGGAACATTTTTTTGCACATAAAATCTTTTCCCACATGTTCTTTAAATTCCCTTTAAATAGTGTCCTTAGAAGGGGGGTGTGACTGTGCTAAAAACTGGGCCTTTTGATATGCATTCCCAAATTCCCAGAAAGATTATTTCACTTTATATTCCCAGTGGCTTTTTAGGAGAATCTGTGTCTCACTGCATCTTTGCTATCCTTTATGTGTTATATGATAACTGAAAGATGATATTTCTGTTTTATTTTGCATTTCTTTATTTCTGAGATTAATACTTTTTTCATGTATTTACTGGTGGTTTTTATTTCCTTATTTGTGAATTGCATATTACTATTCTATGTATATTTATTGGCATATTGGTGTATTTCTTACCAATTTTTAAGAGCTCTTTATAGATTATCTCCTTTCAATAGTCCCTGGTGCTAATATTTTGCAATTTGTTTCATTTTTAAATTTTTTTAGTCTTATGTACAGACTTGGATTTTTGTGCATTCAAATATGTCTGTTTGTAACCTTTGTAATTTCTCATACTAATTTGAGAAAATATTTCTTTTGCTAGTAATCACATGGCACCTGTATTTTCTTATTTTTTTCTATTCTTTTTTTGGTTGTTAACATATAAAACTCTGGTTTTTTTGTTCGTTTTTGGGTTTTTTTTAGAGAGATAGAGAACGAGAGAGTGTGTACATGGGTGCACATGTTTGGGGGGGGAGGGCAGGAGCAGAGAGAGAATCTTAAGCAGGCTCCATGCTCAGCACAGAGCCTGATGGGGGGCTCGATCTCATACCCTAAGCTTAAATCAAGAGTTGGATGCTTAACCAAGTGAGCCACCCAGGTGCCCCTGTATCTGGATTTTGAATGGTGTGTTTGTATTAATCCAGCCAAGGGTGTAAATAGATTTTTTTTTTGCAAATATGTATTCAAATACAGGGGTAAAAATTTATACCTAATACACATTTATTTTTCCATTTCATCACAAACGTTTAGGTATTTTCATCTGTTGATTTCCTAAAAGAAGTGTTATTCTTGTTTTAAAAAATCCTGAGTTTTTTACTGAGATTACATTAATCTTTTAAGTTACTTTAAGATCCTGACATCTTGTAAACCTGAGTATGGAAGCTCATGTGTGGGAAATAATGTTTTAAAAAAACTTTTGTTTCTTTGTTAATTATTGCTCAGGAAGCCAGTTACTATGAACAAAGTGCCTGGGTCTAATTAGGTCAGATGGTAGAACAAGGTGCTAATGAAGCAAAGGAAATGGCACCACGTGATTCAAGTTCCAGGTGTTCAAGTAAATCCAACTATTTAGATTGGTTTCAGTGCTCTGTTTGGTTAAAAATTGTGAAGAGTGGGATTTTATCCTACTTGCAAGCTAACAAGTTAGCCTGCCACAGTTTCATGGATGCTGCCAGAAGACACAAGACTCCTGGTCAGGGACAAAGGACTTTATTACAACAAAAGCATGAACCAGAGTCATATGTGTTTTTATGGGTTCCTTGTGCCCTCCAAGTAGGGTTGCCAGATGAAATATAGGATGCCTAGTTAAATTTGAATTTCAGATAAACAACAAATAACTTTTTAATGTAGGTGTGTCATATTGTCCCATACATTGCATAGGACAAACTTATTTTTATTTGATATATCTGGTACCCCTATTCATGAATCTTTTGGAGGTGACACAAAAAAGTCCATGATGGATATCTACACACAGTGGGATACATTATAGAAGAGGAATATTGAACTTAAGGGTTCTATTACTTTTATAATAAGTGGAAGCAAACCTACTCTTTTCCAGGGTGAGATATTACCTCATCTCTTTAGGTTGTTTACTGCCAGTACAATCCCAAGCCCTGGTCAGGGCTTTGCAATCTTGGCATACCCACAAGAACAGGTAGGGATGTTTAGGGCATATTGGGAATTGCCCTCCCAACATAACTCATTGACCTTCAGCTTTGGCTGCCTTTGTGCATATTTGTTTCCCAGGAGTTTTGGAGCCTACATGTATTCTTTTTTGATATAACTGGAAAAGTTACTGGACACACAGGTCATTAGTTTCTTTAGTGTTTTTGAAAAGTATGGTTCCCAAACCACCACCACCAGTGTCTCCTTGGAACTTGTTAGAAATTTACATAATCAGGTCTTACTAGACCTCAGTCAGAAACTCTGGGGGTGCAGCCCTGCTCTCCATAGTATAATAAGCCCTCCAGGTGATTCTAATGCAAGCTAAAGTTTGAGAACTAGTGCATTGGATTGTAATAAAGGTAGGGAAGGGGAGCTTACATTTGTTATGCAACTTCTATATTCCAGATTTTATATCAGGTGCTTTACATTTAATCTTCAAAACAGTCTTATTAGGTATATCAGACCACAATTTTACAGTTAAGGAAACTGAAGCTCAGAAATGTTAACTAATTTGACCAAGGTCCTAGAGTTACAAAGTGGTACAGCTGGAATTTGAACCCATGTCTAGATGAATGCAAACCCATGCATTTTACTAAGCTTTATGCTACACAAATGAGCTAAAAAAGTCTGTGGAATATGTAAGGTCTTTTATTTTGTTAGCGCTTACAATAGTTTGCTGAGTGACTGAATCTTAATGCTTTAAAATAGAGAAGTGATTTGAATTTGATAATGTTTAACTAAAGTAATATGTCAGATTCTCCCTAATCCTAAGGCTTTCTCACATATTTTTCCTTCTGTCCTCTAGACTGATGTTTCACTTCTATCTTCATATATTTCATCTCATCTTTCACATCTCAAATATTACTTTTTGAAAGATTCCTTCTGTTTTCCTTGTCACAAAACCTTGTGGTTTTGTTTTGTTTTGTTTTGTTTTTACCTCATAGCACTCAGTATAATTTATGATTAGATATTTTGTTTGTGGCTTGCCTTTGCCTCTGTACTCTGAACTTCTTATGGATAAGACTGTGTCTGTCAGTTTCACCTAGCACAATACTAGGCACATAAAAATATGTTCAAGAAATATAAATGAGTGAATGTAAAATGAAAATGATAATACCTATTCTGTCTTCCTTGAGGGCCCTGAGGATCCAGTGAGATAATGCACGTAAAAATACTTAGACTGTTAATATGAGGTGATTTTATTATTTAAAGTTAAAAAAGAGGAATAAAGATATAGCACCCATATTTGTATTATATAATATTTTTTTTAAGAAAGTAGGAGAGTTAATACACTGACGGGCTTTTGTGTGGATCATTCACAGAACCCACAAAATTTTACACACATTTTCTCCCATTGTCCTAATTCTTAATAGTTTGTTCAGAGTCCTTATTCCAAAATTATTACAGTTTTTTCCTCTAATAAAGAATGCATTATTTTGGTTTTATTGAGAAATAGATTTCTTATTTGCCCTACATTTAGAGTATTTTGGTGTATTTGCCATGTGAGATAGGCTCTGAAATGCTAACGGTGATAAATTATGTATTTGGTATAATCTGTACCAATAGTTTTGTCCATTTTTTACATTAATGTTTAAAATTTTTAGTCCTTTTGAGAATATTTACTACTGTTTTTAAATTGAACTTAAATGTCTGATCTTTATATTTGCTTCTTTTAGTTCTTTTTTTTTTAGGTATGCTATATCTCTCTTTCTGTTCCTACTTATTTTCATCTCACCGTGGTGAGACTATTTTTTTTAAGAAAGACAAAATGGTTAGACACTCCACAGTAAAATAAGCTTTTGTGTTTGTGTTTACCTTGTCTTTTAAAAATATTAACAGTTAATTTTAATTATCTGCCGAAAAGTTTATTCCTAATGAGTTTTTGTTATGTTGTTGCTTTTGTTTGTTTTGTCTTGGGTTCTGTTTAGGTTGTGGTTTTTGTGGCCAGATGATACCCTGAAGAATAAGAGGTGTAGGAACAAGTGTGGTTGTCTCGGTGGCTGCAGATTCTTTGGTGGCACAGTAACTGGCCTAGATTTCTTCAAACTTGAAGAGTTGACACCTTCCAGTAGTTCTGCATTTTCAAGCACGAGTGCAGAGTCTGATATGTATTATGGACAGTCTCTGCTACAGCCTGGAGAATGGATTATTACTAAAGAAATTCCCAAAATTGTAGATGGTAATGTGTTATTTTGTTACTTGTGCTAATCTTTTTTTATCTTTATCCATATGCCATTCTGAGAGAAGTTCAGTGTTACTTTGTTCAACTCAATTCTTTGAGTGGTCTTATAGGTAGAATTCAGTATAATCTTCCTTTGTTTTGCAGGTGATTTAACTAAAGCCAGAGAAGACTAGTGTTTTTTACAGTTACACAAGGCAAAAGTAGGTTTACCCTTCAGATCTATTGTTGACATTGGTGATTTTCCTAGACAAGCTTATTCTGAGTATTTCCTTATATATCATTTTCCTAGACCTCAGCTTCCAGAGATTTACTTAAGAATAGCTGTGCTTCAAGGTAACAGTTGTTTTACCAGTTTACTTTTATAGGAAAGCTTATCAGTAGTAATATTTATACTGTTGGCCCTCATATTACCAACTATTTTGCAAGATATTCTTTTTATCACTAAAATTGAACATGTCAAGAAGAGAAATGTGGCCTTAGACCCTGTAGGATAACTTTGCAAATACACAAGTGTGTGATATGAGCAGTAAATGGTGGCTTTAAGTATACTAGATTTAGATTTATCTAGCATCTTTTCTCTGGAGACTTCAGAAGTGGATGTTCCTTTGGGTTTTTTAGTTGTATGTTCCTACAGTTAAGTGCAGTATTTACTGCTTAAGTTGTCATGCTGTCAAGAAGTGAAATGTGGAAAAATCTTGGTATTTTATATTTTATATTAACCTTTTTCCCTTGATCTATTCAAAAACATTAACAGCACTGCCTTTTGTCAGTAGACAAAAAGGGAGAAAAGAAGTTTCAACTTTAAAAGTTCATTGATTTCCCATGTATAAGGAGCTCTTAGAAGAAAGAGCTGAACTACAAATACCAAGCTCTTGCTTTAATGATTTTTCACTAAATATTAATACACAAGTATGTACATCTTATTTAAGGTTGTTTAACTTCAGCAGTTTTGCCTAGAATAAGAGCAGATTATCCTATAAAATCTGCAAACATCAAAAGTTCTTGACATTTAAAGGATAGGGAAGATGCTAAATAAAATTTATCATTTTTCTTACAATATTACTTTCTTATATTTGAATAATGTTTGTTTTTAAAGGTTTTCACAGGTATTTTCTCACTTAATCTTCAAGCTACCATGTGAGTTCTGTATTTTCCTTGTTTATAGTGAAGAAAGTGAGGCTCATCACTGAGAGGGAGTTGCACAAAATCAAATGGCTAAGCAGAAACTAGAATCAGGGCCATCAAAGCCACTTCAGTGTTCTTTCTACCATACTACAGCTGGCATTAATTATAAACACTGCTTGATTTTCTGATCTTCAGATCAAAGTTTAACCATCACAAAGGGAAGGAAGAAAATCTATAGGGAATTTACACATGGTATAAAAGAGGGAAGAGAGCAAATTCTCTAACTGAACAAAGCAGAGCTCATTATAAGTCTTATAATGTATAACAGAGATTGTATCTCCTATTGATTCTTTCAGGAGTGAGCTATAATTCCCAAATCACTGTGATTTTACTATAGAATGAACCCCTATGTAAGTATCTGACTTCTGATTGTTGAAGTTTCTAGGAGCCAAGTATAGATAAGCAGTGTTAGGATATAATCTAGAGGGCACATGGTAGAATGCAGGATTTCCTTGGAAGGTCAGTGACCACTAGTTTCCTACCATTTAGAAGTGAATGAAACCCATTTTTCTTCTGACATTTATTCTGATTTTTCCATTTGTGGTAGTAGAAATGAATAATATTACTTATATTGTAAGTTCTTCAGTCTTCTTACCCCTTAAATTCCATCTAGAACTGTATTCTGCTCAGAGAGGTGTTTTCTCCTACTAACGGGTTCTTCTTTCTTGGGTAACACAGGGATGGCTGGAGGAGAATAGAAACTGGGCAGGAGTTTTTGTTTGTTTGTTTGTTTTGTTTTTTAATCTAAGCAATTTAGAACTCTCCTTTCATCCCCCCCACCCCCAATTTATATAACATGTCTTATAAAAGGCTGAGGAAATGTTCCACATTAAAGAATACATGACAACTGAATGCAATAATATATGATCCTAGATTGAATCTTGTACTGGAAGGGGCAGAGGTGCTTTAAAGGAGATTATTGGGTCAATTGAGAAAATTGGAAAGCACATGGTAGATTAGATAACAGTATTGTATGAATACTAAATTTACCAAGTTAATAATTATATAGTTATTACATATTATTCTTCAGAAATAAACACTTAACTATCTAGGATAAAAGGTCACTATGTCTGCAAATTGCCCTTAATTCAAAAAGTCTTATGTATATATTATATATATTAGAGCAAATGTGGCAAAATGTTTAAAATAGGTAATTCCGAGTAAAAGATAATATGGTAGCTTGGTATTATTCTTTAAAGTTTTCTGTAAGTTTGAAAATTTTCAAATAAAGTTTAAAAAAATGAGAAAAAATTCACTGTCTATGGACTCTGGACCCATATTTAATGTAGATATCTTTCTATAGTGTTTAGCATATTGCTATGTGAAATTGGATATTTGTGCTTTTAAAAAATGATTATATTCATAAAAATAGGGAATTGGATTAAGTGCTCTTATTTTTCATAAATTGCTTTTGAAATTATGTTCATGTAACCTACTTTTTTGTTTGTTTATTCAGGTAATGTGAATGGCATGAAGAGGAAAGAATGGGAAAACAAATCAGTGGGAATAGAAGTAGAAAGAAAAACTCAGCACCTTAGTCTTCAAGTACCATTACGATCTCATAGCTCATCCTCTTCCTCAGAAGAGAATAGTAGTTCTAGTGCTGCACAGCCTTTATTGGCCGGAGAAAAGGAAAGTCCCTCTTCTGTTGCTGATGACCATTTGGTTCAAAAAGAATTCTTGCATAGTGCAAAAAGAGATGATGGTCAAGTACGGTCAGTATTCAATTACATTTAGAAAATAGATTAGAAATTATAATAAAATTATAATTACTTAAAATTTTGGCAAGAAAAATTTTTCCCTCTCAACTAACCCACTATAGAAAATTCTTTTCTCCTCCTGAACATATTTTTAAATGTGCATTTGCTGTTGTCTTGCTAATTATAAAATTAATACATACATATTCGTTCCAGAAATAGGAAAATACAGAAAAATATAGTGAAAATAAATATTTCTTGTCATACCACAGATATGAAAATTTTAGATTTTCCTCCAACCTCCTTGGCTATTCCTTCTTATTCCCTATTTCCATGTCCTCCATTTTTTTCCCTCCATTTCTTCTTTTTCTTCCTCTTACAGCCTGCCATTTGTTAGATGTTCTGGATACTCAGGACTCTGTTCTGTGCCTTTATCTCCACTCACTCTATACTGTTTCCCTAGACAGTCTCAGTAACTGTTTGGCTTCAATTATGATCTATAGCCAACATCTTTTAAATGTAAAACTCTAGCCAGAACTTTTGTCCCTATAGGCCCAGCTACCTTTTTGATATTTCTACTTGTATGTTTCATGGAGACCTTAAACTCAGCCCATAAAAAGTGACCTTGTGCCTCTCATGCTCAACTTGTTCTGCCTCAGTAAATGGCTCTAGCATCAGTTGCTGAAGGTGGTGATAGTGGGGCTATCTCCTTTAACCAAAGCCCTTGTAGATTTTGTTGGACAAACTTTTAAAGAATGTAAAAAAAAAAAAAAAGAAGTTATAAATGCATTAGTGTCCAGGCATTATGGATGGAAGATTATACTTTGGGTTTAAGTTTTTATTATGTTGTAAACTGCCTTAATTTTTTTGGAACTACATGGGGTATGAACACATATTGTGCTGTTTTGTTACTTTGTATAGATATTTCATTGTAAAATTTTAGATTTTCCTTTATTTATAAGATAAATGATTAAGATTACTGTAAAGATTTCATAAGTACTTCTATTTATACTTAAATTATACAATGTACAGTAATGGTAAGAACCTTGCTTTCCATTTTAGTATTCCTACAGAAATTTCAGGAAACAGCCCTGTGTCTCCTAATACTCAGGAAAAGTCAGGTCAATCTCCTTTGAGATCTCCCTTGAAACGACAAGCCTCTGTATGTTCCACTCGACTTGGGAGTACCAAGAGCCTTACTGCTGCTTTTTATGGGGACAAGCAACCTGTTACAGTTGGAGTCCAGTTTAGTAGTGATGTCTCCCGAAGTGATGAGAATGTATTAGACTCACCAAAGCAGAGAAGAAGTTTTGGTTCATTTCCATACACACCATCAGCAGACTCCAATTCATTTCATCAATATCGGTCAATGGATTCCAGCATGTCAATGGCTGATAGCGAAGCCTACTTTTCTGCAGCTGAAGAATTTGAGCCCATTAGCAGTGATGAAGGCCCTGGAACCTATCCAGGTAGAAAAAAGAAGAAAAAGCAAACACAGCAGATTGACTACAGTAGGGGTTCCATATATCACAGTGTGGAGGGACCACTTACTGGCCATGGAGAAAACATTCAGGATCCCCGAACTCTGCCATTCAAAACTCATCCTTCCCAGGCTTCATTTGTTTCTGCGTTAGGTGGAGAAGATGACGTTATAGAACATCCATATGTTGTAGAGGTTGAGAAAACAGTAGAGAGCGAACAGATTACTTCTCAACAACCTGTGATGAATTGTTATCAGACTTACCTTACTCAGTTCCAGGTAATTAATTGGTCAGTGAAGCACCCTACTAACAAAAGAACCTCTAAGTCCTCATTGCATCGTCCCCTCGATCTTGATACTCCAACCAGTGAAGAAAGTTCATCGTCATTTGAACAGCTTTCTGTTCCAACTTTTAAGGTATAAACCAAATCATTAGTTTCCACTGTTAGGTTTACTTAGATAAATCAATTTTTAAGATGTTTCCAAAATTATTCTCTCAGTCATTTTAACTACCTCTATAAAAGAAAGAATTTTTGAAGTCATGGCTTCCATGTGTGACAATAAATCTCAGGGTTATTGATGAGTATTATAAATTTATTTATTTATTTATTT